GGATGGATCGATGATGAGCCCGAGGAGGATCCGAAGAGGATCCCGAGGAGGATCCCGAAGAGGATCCAGGAGGATCCCGAAGAGGATCCCGAGGAGGAGCCCGAGGAGGAAGACGAACAAGAAGAAGAAGAGGAAGACGACCAAGAAGAAGAGAAGACGAAGAGGAAGAAGAGGAAGGTGATGAGATAGTCATGTTTGGGAACGAAGCGGAGAACCACCAGAAGTATTCAACCCTCCCTACATCGCGAGGGTACCCGGCACCGTTTTGGATACAACGGACCTGAACCCCCTTGGGTAACAACGATCGAAAGATGGAGCCGACAACAACGCCAGCGGTCACCATATGGCTACCAACGAGGTTACTATGATCTCACTCATGGTGGACCGGCTGACAGAGCTCTCCCCGTCACGATACAACGAATAGCAAGTATGGATGATCGTGGTAGGACGACGACCGATCAGGTCCGGGAGTTAAGTGCCATCGTACAGTCTACTACTGATCGCACCAGAGACCTGGAACGAGACTCCCCCACAGAGACAAACTCATCAAGACCTTCTCGCAGCTCAAGCAGAAACAAGAGAGTATCGGGAAAGATACTGGCGCTCGAAGAGAGAATGGTTGCCCGAAGCAGATTGGCGGAACTACAGGCGCATCGACATCATCGCAGCCTCCGTCAAAGAAGGGTCGCAGTGATTAGAACTCGTTACTATTCTCAGTCTTGGTAGTAAAATTTCATGAGTACGCGTTGGTGCTACTCTTTGTATGTAGGTCGACCCCGCGACTATGTGATTACACTATTCGAAGGGCTTTTGTAATGCAAAACTATCCTTTGTAACGATGTAATGTAGACCCTTATGTGGTCAAACTTTTCCCTCTAAACGTTATGTACTAAAAGTTATCAATGAAATTTGGCATGTGTTTTTTTATTGAATATTTGGCACTATACATCATAACCTGATCACACAACAGTTTACAAATAATAAAGTTTTGATAAAATACAAGAGGGATGAAACCAGTAACACTCGACTCGTTATCACTATTGAAGTCTTACCGACTGGTCATTTTTTTATGACAGAACCATGCCACCAAGGAAAAGACCAAGGCCTTCCAACAACACAGTGCCGCCTCCACCACCACCTCCGCAGTTTGATCCTGCAATGTTCCAGGCTGCAGTAACGGCAGCCGTGGCGGCAAGCAATGTCGCAAATGGGAACCAATGGTTCTGGCGGTTCTGGATCAGGAGCTACCAATTCCATTCATGGGGACAGCACGGGGCGTACGAGGGAGTGCTCTTACAAAGACTTCACGAATGGAAAACCCGACCCTTTCAATGGAAGCGGGGCGTTATCACGCTGGTGCAATGGTTCGAAAGGACCGAGGCAGTTTTTGAAATCTGCGCTTTCCCGAAGCGAGCAAGGTCAAGTATGCGGCATTCACTTTCACTGGAAAAGCACTTACTTGGTGGAATGGCCGAGTTAAATCACTTACTCCCGCAATAGCTAACGCAATCAGCTGGGAGGATTTGAAAGCCCTAATGTTAAAGGAATACTGCCCGAGGGGCGAAATACAAAACTTGAAGAAGAACTTTGGAACCTCAGAATGACAGGCACTGATCTGAAACTTATACTGCCCGTTTCAATGACTTAGCACTCCTCTGCCCAACAATGCCTCCAGAAGAGAAGAAGGTGGAACGATATCTCTGGGGGCTGTCATCCCAGATTCAAGATAGTGTATTGGCCTCGAAACCCACTACCTTTGAGAGTGCCAAAGGAATTGGCACAACAACTCATAGATCACAGGGCTAGCCGTGGTACCGTGATAACCACCACGACCGAACAAAAGGAGGGAACAACAAAAGGAGGTTCTGGGGCAATAAAAAGAAACAACCAATTCAGGACCCCGCCAAAAAGCAACAGATTGTTGCTGTTCGTGCCG